CCCCCCCCCCCCCAAATGAAATCATAAAGATCAGACAGAAAAGGAAAATATATTTGTACACTATAGTTCACAAGATGAAACCAGTAAAATTTCTGTAGTTGCATAGTAGAGCATGGAAGTGGTCAAAGTTAATGCAAGCTTGTATAACTAGATTTTGCTAATTTAATTTGGTAATGGTGGTCAGAATATTATTTTTTGCATGGACCAAATGATGTACATGTTTTACAGTAAACTGGAGAAAGTTAATCAAATAGGAGTAGCATCTAAGAAAACAAATCTACTTGCCTATGGCCAAAGCTTACTTCATACTACCTCTCAAGGACTAAATAAACTAATTTTCTTGAGAATCTTTGTTAATTGTATATAGCTAGATAACCTTTTCTGATCTATTCCATTTACTTGTCTTAGGATAGAGCAAAAAACAGTAAATGATAATGGTTTTTTTGTATGGGATCGGAATTAATTAAGAGCAATAAAATATTCCATAGAAGGGGAAAGAAAGAAACAAATAGCAAGAGCTGATGTATGTTTTCTGATGTAAGACCTGAAAATATATAAGAGAAATATCTTACTTACTAGAATGGATTAAAAAGGAAGGGGTACTGAAGCAGGTGCTTGGTCCAAGAAATTAAAGTCAATTCCAAACTTTAACTCAAAGTTACAATATGCAAATGAATATGACTCACGGTGTGTTTGGTTTGAGATGTTTTCCAAATAAATTATTGGCAACGGAACATCAAAAAATATTTTCCTTCATATCAAATATGTACACCCTCACCAATAAAGCTCTCAATTTTATATTCCTAATAAATAATGATAACCATCGAGTGTCCACACTCTCTCTTTTTATTCACCCTAAATCATCCCTCTCTTCCCCGCGTCCAATAAAATCTATAATAATGTTAATTGCACCCTGATTGTATAACTAAAAGAAACAGAATTTTTGAATGTGTAATTAAGCCTAATGACAACAACCTTTAGAAGCATGTATGATGTCTGTTTGGCCAAAAAACGATAATCTTTGGTTAAACTAATCAATCAGTTATTAAGGGGAGTTAATCCTAGTTAAAGTAATAACTACATATCTTAACTTAATAAAGTGAAAAATGTGGGCAGTGAAGAAACGGATTTAATACTCCAATATTAAATGCGTCTAATGTAATAAGATGTTAGAGGTATTAGATACTAAATATCAATAAATGGTGTTGAATGTAAATAAAGAGGAAGATTTACCCAATATTGAATGAGGTGGATGATTCCTTCCTCTAACAGTGCTGAATGACAGGAATCCTTCCTCTAACAGTGCTGAATGACAGGAATATAACGAAAATAGTGAGCACTTTCTCGAATTTAGTGGAAATGACAATGGATAATCCAAAAAGGTCGAATCTCTTCCGAAAATTGTTCTTTGTATTTATCTAGAGAGTTTTCCTTTCAAAAGAGTTTGTATCATATGTAATATTACACGCCTTTCGCCTTATCTCTCATACTATTTATATAGAATATTCCCAAAGAACCCTAAAAAGTACAAATAGAGAGAATATTCAATAGACATTACTGGAAAATGAGCCTATTGCAACAACTGGAAAATCGTTGCAACAGACAGGTAAACTGTTGCCATAGAGTTATTGGAAGGGTTTAGCAACCGTTACATACGCTGGCGTGCCAATAGATCTAGAGTAACGGTTAATGGTTCGTGCAACAGTTATCAAAACTGTTGCTAGAGGGCTATCTATCGCAACGGTTTTTCCTCTGTCTGAAGCAATGAGTATTCTTCCCAGTCCCAACGGTTAAAAACCATTACCATAGAGTTTACAACGCCTGAAAATTGTTACCACATTATTTACTACAACAGTTAGAAACCATTACCATATCATTTATTGCAACGATTGTGTAAGCTATTGCAACGTTTATTAACAAATATTCTAACGGTTTCATTATGCTATTGTAACGGTTTTATTCCTATTGCAACAATTTTAACTACCAATTGCATCAATTTGTCGCACATTTTGGAACGATTTGCAAGACCTATTGAAACGGTTTGCACGATTATTACAACAGTTTTATTAGACTATTATGCCCTGGTTGTAAATGAATATTTACATATATAAAAATTTGTAATAACCTGAAATTTATATAAATAAAAAGATAAAACACTTCATAATCTATATTGTCCAATAAGCTAATATATCCATAAAACCAAAATGTTTTAACCCATTCACATAAGTTAAACATTTCAACACTACAAGAGTTAGAGTAATTTCAAATGTTGATAACAAAAGATTCCTAGAACATGGACAACAATTCAAAGTTCTTAAGTTAGGTCTAGATCTTCAAAATCTCCATCTTCCCCTTCTTCAATTGCTCGACCTACAAAAGACGATAAATAAAGTCATTATCCTTCAAGAGTTGGTTTATTATCAAGAGAAGAAGAGATCACTACTGATTCAGGTTCACTTTCAAGTAGAGCTCAAGCCCATTTGGAACCAGAATCTCCAATCAGTACAAAAGCATCCTTAGAACAAAATTAATTTCTGATAACACAACAACAACAGCTTCATTAACATATGTCAAGTGATAAAAATCCAAGAACTGGAAATTTACAAACTAAACTAGTTTCCCTAGACTTCCAAGTTTCACCAGCAAGACCAGTCTCAAAATAATCACCACCCAAAAAAAGCTGCTAACAACTACCCTTGCATTTAACATCCTAACACCCTATTAGATCAAACACAACGTAAATAACTTCTAATCTTCAAGAAGCTATATATCTGAACATAAAGCAGGAAAGCAGGATGCCAAAATAAAGCAACAAATACTGTAGTCATATACCAAACTCTAATTTTGCGAAGAGTAGGTCTAAGAGGAGCATTATACATGCTCAGTTCACAAATTCACATCAATATATATAAAACTACAACTAATTGGTTAATTGAAACAAGAGGTCCCAAAAATACTAAGGAATCAAATAGTAGATATGTCATAGGGTACATATGGTACAACAGACAATTGTTTTGGTTTACCTGCTACAGTTGAGTGGAATAGTTGACCACTTACTAGTAAGAATAAGTCTTAACCTAAGATAGAATCATGAATTACTAGTAAGAATTAAGAAATGATTGGGTCTGCAGTACTTTTTACAAAGAACACTTCACTTTATCCATAGTCGGATAGTCCTGCTGCCATTATATCTAACTTGAATGGAAAATATAGGATTGAAATCAGAGTTTAGCACTATGATAGGGATGAAAACCTTCAGAACTCCAAGCAATACAACCCTTCAAAAAAGCACCTCATCTACTCTCAATGCTATTGATCAGACAAAAATTATATACTTGAAGTTCTAAAATAGGTCAAAGTGTCAACCTACTTGATGTTCTAAAATAGTACAAAGCCTCGTACTTCTAATGTAGAGATTAAAGACACATGCAGGCAACACATGAATCATCCTATACATTTGTTTTCCCTTCAACAATATGAAAGGATCAGTACATATCTTTAGGCTGTTTAACCATGTCTAAATATAAAAATTAGAGAGCAAACACATATAAAAAGACAATAAGAACTTAATCAAGCAAAAAAAACTAAATGCAAAATAAAGAGAAATAATAGTATCAGTCAATATTGCAAATTGTTACAAAGTCACCAGTGGTATAGACATAGTTTCCTCACACAAACCAATAGAAGTAATTCTACTACATTCACAGCACATATTTACACTAGTAAACAAGAGAGTAATATTAACATTTACGATTAATCTCAGAGAATCATCTGAAGTCTAATTTCAATCGTCTTTCCAAAATGAGATAATCACACAACAGTCAACTCTAAATCATCTATTTATTATATACGCACAACAGAAATATTCTTTCCAAAATGAGATAATCAAATATATAAGGGAGGGACGAAGCTGGCAGAAAACTAGACACTTTCTTGATTAACATATATAAGTTAGATGAAGAAATAACCTTAAAGAGAGAAGAATAAGTTCAAGTGTAACCTTAGCAAAGCAGCAGAAGGAGGAGAAGAAGAAAGAAAGAAACAAAGAAAAGAAGGGGTGTAACATTTGGAGTACGTACTGACCTTGATTATTACTCCCAGTAGATGAACGATTTTAGTTGCACAACAGCTTGCTGTGCAGAGGAAGCTTCTTCGGGTTAACGAGCATTGAATGCTAGCATGCTGGGATCAACCCGTAAATCTGTATTCAGATGCTTAAGTTGTGAAATGATGTTAACTGCAACTTGTAGTTCCACGACATCTTTTTGTGCGTTAACCTTTTCTTGCATCCTATTGCATCCTTTATTCCATTTCCTCCAATTTTTGTTGCATCATCTCAATAGTCGAACTTAAAAGGGGATCCAAAATTTTCCACTTTTCTTTTTAAGGAAGTTTTGGTAACCACGTCCATACAATCTTATGCGACCTGGATGCTCAGGTAACCCCTCGTACAATTTTATTAAGAGTATCCACATACAAGGCCTTGTATACTCGATCGAGTTTTCTTTTTCTCGTAGCCACAAAGATATCCTTGCTTGATAGAGGTTCAAAAGTTTCTTTTTTTTTTCTGATTATATAAAACGTGGCATAAAAATATTTCAGATTAAAGTTAGTAAGTTCATACTTAAAAGAATAATAAGAAGAAAAAATATCAAACCTCGCATATTCAAGCGAAACTTCTTTTGCTAGCAGTGTGTGGATATTTCAACTTTTTGCAATTCTCGGTATTGGTTTTGGACATTTTCTGCAAATCAGTCAATGAATACAGAGTTCTCCAGTTCAGTTTTCCCAACAGATTCAAATAAAGCTTAAATTGTGCACTTAAGTTATGTAACTTAAGTGCATTTGATGTATAAAGATAGTTCAGTGATTTCTAATTAAACATAAACCAAACATTCTTAGCAAATCATAGGACAATACTTACTTTTACCTTGTAGGCATCAGAGTTCCAATAATTAAGAAGATCCCTAAATTGAGATTCAGGAACATCAACCGGCCTTTTCTCCATTCGAAGCTCGTCATTCTCATAGGCTTGAAAATGGTAATCCTATACGACAAAAGTAATCAACAAAATTAACTCAATAAACCAAGATACATACTAATTTGACATGACCAAAACTTAAAGGGGATGAAGTCAAAGAGTAAAGCAATTTTTGCATTGAGAAAGAATTATAAAATCATTAGAGAAGAGATCCGTTCTTATAAACTTTTGAAATGAAAAAAAAAAAGTTTATAAGAACGGATCTCTTATAAACTTGAGTTTCTGTTTTTGACTTAGCTAAGACTTCAAAGATCCTCAGGTAACTGATAGAGCAAAATCCACACAAACATACAAATAAACTTCACCCCATCCCATACTAAGCACCCTCAACCAACATCAGCCAAATAATTCTCCATTTCTCCCTAAATGCATCAGTAAACACAAGAACCTGAATGCAAACACCCATGAACCTCATAGAAACAACAGAACCAAGAATCTAAGCACCAAGGCTCATTCTTTCTCTAATACTATTTTCTTTTTTGCAGGTTTCATCTTCTTTATGCTCAATCTATTGGTATATTTTCAGAGTGTGGTATTAGCATCTATGATGCTCATTCTCCTAGAGATATATCAATTAATTGAAGCAGAATGCCTTCAGATTGCTATATACAGATAGACCTTTATAAAATACCCACCACTGTCAAGAACAAAGCAGCTATTCCACTTGCAACTCTAAGTATCTCACTAGAACACCCCCATATCCTTTTGTTACAAACTCCCGGTGGAGTGCAATCAACTCCCTCCCAGTTATCCCCACACCACAATGCTGCCTCAAAAGTTGCTCATCAAGAATCAGAGATGCCCACAAAAAATCCCATGTACTCACGATCAATCCTATCTCACACCCAACCCCTTTTCCAGAATCCACATCAACCTGGAAATAGAAAACTTTTTTTCTAACAAGTTTGCTAATTTTAGCATATACATTGTTATACAAAATAAAAAGACATAATGTACTAATAGAAAGTAAAAGAATGAAAAGCATTTAACATGACAAGTGTTATAAAACTTATTCTACAGTTTTACTAGTTAAGAGAAAGCATTATCAATAAGAAGAAAGGAAAGAAGGCAAAAGGAAACCGAAGACAAACTGATACATCATTTTTGATGACCATCATACCATACATGAGATCCATTAAGCTAAAATCAGATTTTGTATTCCACTAGCCGAGGCACATTCACACAGGTAAAAGACAACAAAAGGAAGCTGCAACATTTTGAGGAAGCTATTGTAATATTTGCATCTTTGTTTAAAAGAAAAAATAGCAAATGGGGATCATGTCCTGGCCCACGCACATGCGACTTTATGGCTTCCCTATAAATTAAATTTATAAAGAAATTATGTCCGACTGCACAAAGCGCGGACAAATTAACTAGTTGAACATATATATAGTAGGTTAGTCGAACTACGAAGGATCTAAAACAGCTCAAATTGAATATGGGAGACCTCTCTTATAGAGTTTGATCCCTAAACCAAAAGGCTTAGCATTACAAAAGATGTTACAGGAATTATGCATTGTGTGCTATTGAGGACAGTTTTTATCGAAACAAGGAGACGACATTCTACAATCAAAATTGCAGGGGATGTACCTCACTGACATAGCTCATGAAATTCAGAATTGATAACCCAAACTACCCAGCTTAATACCTCATGCAATAGAAAATTCAATGTAACTTTTCGGAGAAATTTAGTTCATATAAGAATTCACAATATTTACTGAAATAAATTTTGACTCACGTTAACCATATCTAAATGAAAATTAAGCCCAAACAATTTGGGTTCTAAACATCAAAAGAGAGCAATAAATCATATACACTGCTCACACCATAATGCTTAAAGAAAAAAAAAGAATGATTATATAGAAGATAATGCCCAAATTAGAAAAAAAAATTACCTGAAAATGATTACTCACAGATTGCCTTTTGGGTCGAAAATTTCTCGTGATTGGAATATTTTCTTCACCAGTAATCGCTGCCTTTAATTATTCCTATGTTCTTCATCTCCTTCGAGTGAAACAAATGGAGTTTAGGACTTTGGGGATTTTGGGTGTGACGACCCGACCCGTCGTATCATGAGTTACCACTCCGTTTTCCCCGTTTTCAAATTCTTTATGCTTCATTATCTGTAATTGGTGTGATCGAGTCGATTTGGATTGGTTTTGGTAGGAAATGAGACACTTAGTCTCTTTAAGGAAGGCTTAGTTTGAAAAAGTCAACCGGATGTTGACTTATGAGTTAGAGGGCTCGGATGTGATTTCCGGTGATTCGGTTAGCTTCGGGGGATGATTTGTGACTTAGAAGCGTGATCGAAAGTGGTTTTGGAAGTCCGGTGTAGAAATTATCTTGTTTTGGCGAAGTTAGTATTTTGGCGATTTCCGGTTGGTAGGTGAGATTTTGATTCGAGGGTCGGAATGGAATTCCGAGAGATGCAGTAGCTTCGTTAGGTGATTTGGGATGTGTGTGTAAAATTTCAGGTCGTTCGGAGGTGATTTGGTCTGGTTTTTGATCGAATGCGTGTTTCGGAAGTTTTAGAAGAACTTAGGCTTGAATTCGATATAAATTGACGGTTTTGGTGTTATTCGAGGTGATTTGATGATTGGAACAAGTTTGAATGATGATTTAAGATGCGTTGGTGTGTTTGGTTGAGGTCCCGGGAGGCTCGGGGTGGTTTCAGATGGTTAACGGGAAGAGTTTGGACTTGTGTTGTTGCAAATTATCTGGTGCTTCAGGTATTTTCGCACTTGCAGTTTGGGGACCGCATGTGTGGTGTCGCAGATGCGGGTTGGGGGTCACAGAAGCGGAAAAGGCAAGGATTGGCTGGGACCACAGAAGCGGATAGGGAGCCGCACCTGCGGAGCCGCAGATGCGGCCAGGCGGGACTTAATGAGGTTCCGCAGATGCAGAGTTTCAACCGTAGAAGTGGCTATTTGACCGCAGATGCGGTTATGGCTGGGCAGAAGGTATATAAGGTCTTCTTCGCGAATTTTGAAGGGTTTCTCATTTCTAACTTCGGACTTGGAGAATTTTGGACGATTTTGAAGAGGGATTTCAAGGAGCTTCGATAAGGTAAGGATTTTTGGACCTAAAACACAATCCTATGGTGTTATCACATGAATTAAGACTGGAAATATAAGAAAATCATGGACTAAAAATGGAGGTTAGGGCTTGAACTTAAGAGAGCTAAGATTAGGGATTTGAGGGGTCAATTGAACGCTGATTCTTGTGATTTTTATATGTATGAACTCGTGGCGAGATAAGGAATCTAATGATGTAAAAATTTCTGAGTTTAGAGAAGTGGGACCGGGGCTCGGGTTTTGCCAATTTCGGAATTTTTGATATTTTTTGATTATTTTCGATTAGGTATTGTTTCCTTAGCCTATTGTGACGTATTCATTGTGGTTTTGGTCAGATTCGACGCACGAGGAGGCCGATATGAGAGGCAAGGGCATAACGAGCTAGAGTTTTGGCCGGCTTGAGGTGAGTAATAATTGTAAATTATGTCCTGAGGGTTTAAAACCCTGGATTGCACATCGTAGTGCTATATTGAGGCAAGATACGCGCCGGATTGCACTTGACTTATTATTTGAACTCAGTCCTGTTGATATCTACTCTTTTACGAATTCAGCCACTTTTACTCAGATTTGAAACTTAAATGATATTTCTACATCATGTTTTGGGTTGAGAACTACTGTTTTACTAATGCCCAAGGGGCTTGTGATGATTTTTTTA